GAGAGACAGAGCATGAACGGGGGAGGGGCAGAGAGAGAGGGAGACACAGAATCGGAAACAGGCTCCAGGCTCTGAGCTATCAGCCCAGAGCCCGACGCGGGGCTGGAACTCACGGACCGGGAGATCGTGACCTGCCTGAAGTCGGACGCTTAACCGACTGCGCCACCCAGGCGCCCTGACACCTTTTTTAAAAGGATCCTGAAATTTGTAAGAGGAAGACTGAAAGAACTCTTAATTCTTATAAGAAATATCACCTAGGGTCATGAGAAATAATGACAAAATCAGAATTATTGTCTCCTCACTCCTGGAGCAGAATGTACTCTTTCCCTTGACCTGCTGTCAAGTGTCTGAGACAGAAACGGAGGGAGTAGAATTTAGATCAGAGCCCAAAGCACTCCTGCTGGAGACCATGGGAGCAACAGCAGCAGCTGCTGCATTAAACCAAACACCCAATGAAGGGAGGCCTCCATCAATCAATGCCCAAGTGGGAAACAAACTATATCACACAACTTCACAGAGAAGATTTAGTATAGGAATTGGTTAGACAAGTTTTGGAGGACCATAAGGGCATGAGGCAAACATTGAGATGATAAAGAGACAGCAAGTGCAGAAGGAAGCTTTATCTCCCGGGGCTGGAGGAACCAAAAGAGAGCTGAAAGCCGTTGTAACTGAGAAGTCCAGAGAAGGTGCTCCACTGATCTGGGTCAGAGTCCTCTGATGAGGGTGTGCTTCCTGGGTAGACTTGTTCTTCTTGTGGTGTGAAGAGACTCCACGGAGCTAGGACTCAGGCCTCTGAGGAACAGGCACTGCTCAGAGAGTGTTGCTTCCTTGGGACCTTGGACGAGACAGTTCCCACTGAGCTGGGATTCAAACCTCTGAGTAGGCAACATTGGTGAGCACATGCTAGTGTCTCTGAAGGGCTAATGAGGCTGCTCCTGCAAGTGGGAAAACTGCAGCCAGCTGATGTCCCTGGGCCCAATCACTACTGTAAAGTTAAAAAAAAAAAAAAAAAAAAAAAAAAAAAACAGCATCAGGGCAATGCTGACAGAAGAAGGAAGCAAGTTCTTTCTGCATCTACTGTTTCAATCTTTCTCTAGGGACCCCTCTGGGCAGAAACTCACAGAAATTCAGCTGCAAACGTGAAATATGGTTTGTAGAACCCCAGGCCCAGAGTCCAGATCTGGAACTGGAGCTGAGAGACAATAGATTAATAATGAACCAGTTGCTGCCCAAGAAACTTAAGACTTCCCCATCTAGACTAGCTCAGGTAGCTACCCCAGCACAGAGAGAAGCAGGAGAATGTGGTGTGTTTCCTGGCATGTACATCCACATAAAAGTCATGCCGGGTAGATTAGTTGGCATCCCAAGGAATCTGACTGGAGGTTGGATTAAAATTTGGGCTTTGAGATTTTACACTGTCCAGTAGAGGAACTATGGATGACAGTTTTGTTTTAGAAGGTACACATTTATGGTGCTACCTAATCACCATAATTCATTATAATTCAGAAAAATGAAGCATTCTGATGGGTCTCAATTTTCTCATAGGTCTTTCACAGCGAGGGCAAAAGTGTTTAAAGTGGAAAAGACAGCATGTGGAGGACGCCTGGGTGGCTCAGTTGGTTGAGCATCCAGCTTTGGCTCAGGTCATGATCTCACAATTTGTGAGTTTGAGCCCCGCGTCAGGCTCTGTGCTGACAGCTCAGAGCCTGGAGCCTGTTTCAGATTCTGTGTCTCCCTCTCTCTCTGCTCCTCCCCTGATCATTCTCTCTCTCTCTCTCTCTCTCTCTCTCTCTCTCTCTCTCAAAAATAAACATTAAAAAAATTTTTTTTTAAAAAGACAGCATGTGAAAGCACAAAACAGCAGATCAACTCAGTATCCTACTACCAAGAGATTCAGACTCAGAGGTATGAGGAATCCCAGCCCACCAAAGACCTGAGGTTTGCTTACCCCCCAAAAAGGATGAAACAAGACGGAATCATGGCTTGGTCCTCAAATTTGACATGGGACCAATGTAAGGAAACACTGTCCTCCAAAGTCCAGATCCCTTCTTAATCTCATGTTTTTCTAGAGAATGCCAGGTGTACTCTCTAGCTGAGCTGCCAACACAGTAGGACCCAGCTATGGTGCCTGGCTAATGGGCAGAGCTCTCAACCAAGGAGGCTGCTGGGCTCACTCCAGCTGGTGGTGGAGGACTAGGGACTAGCCTTGCCTCTGTGCTCTGACCCCTCCCAGACAAGGCAGGCCAAATGCCTCTTGCTTGCCTTCAATGAAATTAACCCTCCAGCCTCCTTTTTTAAGACAAGGGAGGCTCCTAGATTAAATTTAAAAGATAAAATAAGAATCTGCTCCATGCAACAGAAAATTAAATGTGATGGGACTTCTGCCATCTTATGAATCCCTTTTTCTGGAATAAATGCCTGCCCCTGCCAGACAGGGCTCTAAGAAATCCATATCTGGAGAAATGGCTCAGGTCTCTCCTTTTGTTAAGCCTGTTAAGATTGTTAAGCAATATTCAAAAAGACTGCTCTTCCAGGTCCACTGTCAGGTTGGACAAGAGCTGTAGTGGGCTTGCTGCTTGCTTACAAAGTCTCTTGTCCCAACCATGTATGGTGCCAGAAGGTGGAGTCCATGATAGGCCCTAAAGTATATTTTGGTGGGTAAGAGCATACACTTTAAATTCTTGGAGCTTTCATTGAAATCCTACCTCCACCTCCCGCTCATTATGTAATTTGGATGTATTACCTAGTCTCATAGTGTTACTGGAAAACCAGAGATAAGTTGTGGCAATACTTAATCCCCAGACCTGACATATAGAAGCTTTCACATTAGCTGGGGGCAGTAGTGGTGGAAGTGGCATAGCGGCAACCACAAATCCCAAATGTAAGAGATGCTGGCTGACTCTAGTTCAGTGGTTCTCATCCAGAGACAATTTTTCTCTCTCCTCACCCTCAAGGAGATTTGGCAACGTCTAGAGACATTCTTGGTTGTCACAACTGGAGTGGTTCTACCGGCATCTAGTTGGTAGAGGTCAAGGATGCTGCCAAATATCTTATGATGCACAGAACAGCCCCCCACAATGATTCAGCCCAAATGTCAACAATGTCAAAGGTGACATACCCTAGTGTAGCTGTACCCAAGGATCAATTCCTAAACTGAAGATAAAGGAAAGCCAATATAAAACACAAGAATACAACTACCTCATTGTCTGGAGCCAAAGGATAGGAAGGTGGCTAAGACTTCAGTTCATAAAGCAGCTTCCACAGATGGGGAGCTGTATGCACCACAGGCTCATATCTTATCTCTCTCAGCCAGACCCCTTATCATATGGTTGTTGGTGTTGGCAGACCAATCTGGCAGAACACTTACATGAGATGTGCTTGAGTCAAGGAGGCCAAAAGGGTAAGGGCTTGTGGCTGGGGAAACATTCGAAGAAAGGATGAGCTTCCTTTAACTGATAGACATTATCAAAGACAAAAAGCAGAGAAATGGGTAAGTTGAAGTTCTAACAGTTCCTCTCTGTGGCTCTTCAAAGAATCGATAATGCGAAGTCATAGTCAGCCAGTCATAGAAAATGTTGCCTGCTGGATGCCAGCGGAGTCATGAGTTTGTCTGCACTAAATCACAAGGACCAATTTTAAGAGATAACATATAGGGAAGCAAGATCTGCTTCTCTTTCTCAGCTAAGAAAGGCAAACTGGTGGTGGTTCCTACAAAAGGAGTCAAAAAAAAAAAAAAAAAAAAAAAAAAAAAAGAACTTCAGGTTTGTTGAAGGAAAAGAATGCATCTGTTCCTGAGAAGGCAAACTCTAAGCAAGACAGAGCTCTGGCAGGGAGGGATGATCCACCTGGATCTAGAGGCCACAGAGAGAAGGATCAGCTGCTCACATAGGACTCAGAGTACAAAGCCTGAGACAGGGTTCAACCGAACAGAAAAGAGAAGTGATCTGAAAACTGAAATGGACCCGTTTGCATTTGAAAGAGCAGGAAAAAAATTGGGGACTGAAAGATGACAGGCTCTGGGGAGCTGGGAAAGAATCCAGGACTAAGGAAAGGTGGAAGATCCATCAACAGGAACTCCTTCATTTGGCCTTTCCTGAGCAGAGATGGTATCACTCATGAGCCTGAGGCTTCCTGAGATAAATAGGATCCACTCTGTATCAGAAACCACCACAGTGGCTTCTCATTTACCCATCCCAATGCTGCTTCTCACCAGGTCATTTTTAGAGAGTTGAATCCACCGCTGCCCCAGCAGCCCCTTTCTGTATCTTAACCCCCACCTACCCTTTCCAGCTAGCCACCACACACATCACCCTGAGCCAGGCAGGGGTGAGGGGCTGTGACATCCAAGTTTCCTTAGCTGCCCCTGTCCTCAGTGATCACTCACCAGCAGGATTATCTTAAACTTACAGAGCACTTGATATCATTGTCTTCAGTTCTCTTGTTCAGTCTGGACACAATCTCTAGATTCATTTATTTTCCCCATTACACTTAGAAGGAAACTACAGCTGAAGTGGATTGAGTACTCTGAAAGAGTCTGAATTTGAACGCAGATCTTCTCCCCAACCAGTGTAGGGCTCCTTCCACACTGCACATGTCTTCTCTATACATCCACACCACACCCTGCAAAGCAACGCTGTTATGTCTTTTCTTTTTACATTCATCATCATGAGTACTAGTGTATTCTTAACTGAATTACCAATTTTCTAAGGATATAGATCAAATGAGTTTTGTTTTGCCAGATGAGTAATGTGCTCTTAATCACTCAATACTCATTTAAGTACTATTTATTTTTTTAAAAAATCCATTACAAGATGCGGAAAATATAAAAATTGCAAGAAACCAAGACGATTACCAATAATTGCTCTACACAGCATGTTGAAAACCTCGTAATCACACTGGTTCATTAGTGGTAGTTTTCAAAACCTTATTCATTGGAGAGTCTCTGAGGCCACCGTGGACTTCAATATGCAGTCTCCAACAAAAGTTGCAGAAGACAGAAATTAATTTCTGGTGAAGAAGAAAATCTTCCTGAGGGCTGCTTTGACCTCCTTGTTTCTCAGAGTATACATAAGGGGGTTGAGAGTAGGGCTCAACATGGTGTACAATACACCAGCCAACTTGCTCTTCTCTGCACTGTAGCTAGAGACAGGGCTTATGTAGGCATAGAAGACAGCGGTATAATACATACACACCACAATGAGGTGGGAAGAGCAGGTGGAAAAGGCTTTTTTCTTCCCCTCTACAGTCCGCATCTTTAGAATGCTGGAGATGATAAAGCCATATGACACGACGGTCATCAGGAAGTTCAATATGCCATAAAAGGCGTCAGCCAGGACAATCATGATGCTATTCACATAGGTGGAGCTACAGGAGAGAAGCAACAGAGGAGGGACCTCACAGAAAAAATGGGTAACGATGTTGGGACCACAGAAATTCAACCGCAGCATCAGCCCAGTGTGGATGGCTGTGTTGAAGGCACAGAGTACCCAGACACCTGTGGTCAGCTTGCTGCAGAAAGCCTTGCTCATCATGGTGCTGTAATGCAGAGGGTGGCAGATGGCTGCATACCGGTCATAGGCCATGACCGTGAGGAGGAGCAGCTCAGAGGATGCAGCCCATGTGAGGAAATAGAGCTGGGCCATGCAACCCCCATAAGAGATGGAGTTCTCCTCTGACATCAGACCCTCCAGTGCTTTGGGCATGATGGAAGAGGTGCAGATAATATCCATGGTAGCCAAGTTGAACAGAAAAAAGTACATGGGGGTATGGAGCCCAGAGTTGAAGCTGATGGCCAAAATGATGAGGAGATTACCTGTGAGGGCCACAGAGTAGAGGGAGAGGAAACAGCTGAATAAGAGCACATGGTATTCTGGGTGCTCTGAAAAGCCCTGCAAGATAAACTCTGTTACTAGCGTCTGGTTACTCATGGTCCTTGGGCTGAGAGGGGTTTCCATGATCATCAGGTGAATCTCTACTCACAGCTCCATGTGATTTCAGGACTAGAGAGAGAAATGAGAGGTATCCTAAAGTAGGCTGCTACTATGCTTCATTCATACCTGACATCATGGCATGAGCAATATTATACAGATATATGAAGGCTTCTTAATGAAGAGAAACATACCAATATGACATTAAGCAAAGGGTGTGAACATGTAGCCCATAAAAAGTGAGTACAAATGGCCAATTCATAAAGCATCATTCAACTTCAAACAAATGCAAGTTAAATCAGTAATTCATTCTTTATGAACCATGTGGCAAAGTTTGAAAAGCATGGTTTTGACTAACACTAGCATGGGTGCCAAGATGCAGGCCTTTTAAAATTCATATTCCATTTGAGCCAGAACTTTCACTTCTAGGAATTTATCCTGCAGCAATAATTAAGTCCATCTTCAAGGTGTAATCACAGCATTATTTATAATACTGAAAATATAAAAGCAACTTATACTCTTAAAGGTCAGTATATTACAATATGTTCCTATAGTATAATGCTCTATACCTATCGAAATGATGCTTTAGAGGTGTTTTACTGATGTTTACAAAAAAGCATGAAGAGGGGCGCCTGGGTGGCGCAGTCGGTTAAGCGTCCGACTTCAGCCAGGTCACGATCTCACGGTCCGTGAGTTCGAGCCCCGCGTCGGGCTCTGGGCTGATGGCTCGGAGCCTGGAGCCTGTTTCCGATTCTGTGTCTCCCTCTCTCTCTGCCCCTCCCCCGTTCATGCTCTGTCTCTCTCTGTCCCAAAAATAAATAAACGTTGAAAAAAAATTTTTTAAAAAAAAAGCATGAAGAAAGTTCAAAAGTAGTATGTACAATAGGATCTTATTTTGAGTTTAAGAAAAAAAAATCACGTTTGTACATATACCTATAGAAAAAAACCAACTGGTTCTGAATGATAAACAACAGTGGAGACTGATTATAGTTGATTTAATTTCTTTGCCTTTGTTTCTCTGTATTTTCTAATTTTTCCATTTAAGAATCTTTCTAGGGGCACCTGGGTGGCTCAGTCAGTTAAGCATCCGACTTTGGCTTAGGTCGTGATTTCACAGTTTGTGGGTTTGAGGCCTGGGTCAGGATCTGTGCTGACAGCTCAGAGCCCAGAGCCTGCTTCAGATTCTGTGTCTCCTGTTCATGCTCTGTCTCTATCTCAAAAATAAACATTCAAAAAAAATTTTTTTAAGAAATCTTTCTAAAAGGCAGATCTGACAGAATAAAGACCCCCAACTGCTACTTCTGGATCTACCCACCTCTCTAGACAATGTTTTCCCTCTTGTCTCAACCCTCATGGCCAAAGCTCCAGCCACACCCAGATCTCCCAGTCTGGCCAAAGCACCAGCCATGCCAGACTTTTGTAGCTTTGTTCTTGCAGCTCCCTCAGCCAGGAACACTCTCCTTCTCATGAACCAGGTCGATCATCATCCCTTTCCTTTTCTAAAATCCCTTCCCTAGAGAGAAAGGACCACTCTCTCCTTCGTGGCCCCCAATTCTGTACTGACTTCTATCCTAGAATTCATTAACACATCACTTCACGATTATGGTACCCATCTCCCCTAAGATTGGGGCATTTGCCTCATTCATTTCTGAGCCCCTTTTCTTGGCTCCCAGCCCCCTGTCTGGCATGAAACAGGTGGGCCCTAAAATACATTTGTTGAAACAATAGCAAAGAATAATCTAGTACCAATAAAAACAGAGTGGTTTCTATTCTCAACACAGTGCAAATTCTGTATTGTTTAAGATGAAATCAGCATGGTAAATTTGCATTTTCCTTCTTTTCAACTCTTCATTCATTAAAAGGCTTAATTTTAAAAAGATGCTCATTTTCAATTAAGAATTCTGCTTTTTACCAAACTTCAATAAACGTATTTACCACTGAAGCATTAAAAGTTTTATAGAAAATGAAGAAACACCTCTGATCAAATCATATCACCATTTTGTAAGGTGAAGACTGTTCTTTGAATAGAAGAGCATAAAATTCCTCTGATTCGGGGCAATAGGCTGTGCTAGCGTAAAGTCTGTCCAAAGCTAATACAAATGGGGGTCCATCTGTATCTTCCCAGCAGCAAGGTGTCAGGTTGCTCAATTGCTTTGCTGATGATAATAAATGAGATATGCTTTCGCTTTATATGCAAAAATAGTGAATGTTACTTTTGTATAGTATGAGTTGTGGGCCTGAAGATTTTATTTGCTCCTTTGTCACTTTGTTGGCTCCTCAACACAGCCTGGTGAGTGACTCCTGTTTAACCCCAGGGACCACCATGAGACTGAAAAGCTGAGGCAGGCTGAAAAGGAACAGAGTTCGATTTGCCCCTTGCATGTCTCCACGTAAGGTTTCTGCACTTCCCACGAATGTCCTCCCTAGGATTCTCACCACCTGACACCCCCAGTCATCACTCACAGTCCACTCCACACAGATTACAAGCAAGAGACTCAATGCTATGACCACACCTGGGAAGAGATAGACACCTCCATCGCCAAACACTGAGCGGTGGTGTGTGGGTCTGTCACAGAGCACTATCGGAGGACCAAAAGAACCTATTATGAAGGAAACTTTATATCTGGTCTTGGTCTTCACTCCACTCCAGAGTGAGGATAGAAAATAAATAAATAACTACAACATAAATGGGAGTTTTGAACAGGTGCTCAGCACAAGGAAATGTCAACAAACTGATTCACACTCAGGGAACAAATTGCCCCTCAGATAATTACCCTCGCGCTGTAATTTCCAGGGCAGGGGAACAGTCTCCTCATCCAATTGATCAACAGGGAGATCAGAGAATAAGGGAGCAGAGACTCTTTCTGTGAGAATGACCATGAAGTCTCTGTCGGACCTCAGCCAGGTGCTTCCTCTTCTGAAAATAACAAAGACCTCTCTCTCCTGAGGTTCATAGGGCATTGGCTTTAATCCTCCATCAAGCAGTGCAAAATTATTACCAAAGATGTGAGGGAAAAGAAAAAGATCTCAGTTACCAATTGCCAAGTTTAAACACATACTACCTGCAAACTACATGACTCTCCACATGTGAGGTGACAGGACATTTAAACAGTGATTATTTTCCATACTTACCAGAACTTCCAGCCCTCAAGTTTCAAAGGACATAAAAATGCATCTTGGCAATTTGATCACTTTAAAGAAACAGCATGAAGTGTCCTTAAATCCCTGAAATTAAAAAGTTCATTTCATTTCATTTCATTTTTCATACAAATAAGTTGAATTTCATGTGAAAGACAATTTACTTTCAGTGACATTTTATCTTAGTTCCAATTTATTGTTCATAATTTCAGAAGTGGAGAATTATTGCTGTCATAAGGCATTCAATTAATTACGGAGAAGTTGACTACTTCTATTATTATTATCTCTAAAGAAGTTTGAGAATTTTCAGACACAATCCAATTAATCCAAAGTCCATCTATTACATACGAAGGTAAATATTCCTATTAAACATAACTCAAGAGCAGAAAACTAAAAATCAGAAAATGCCAAAATCTCATATGTTCAGGTTTAAATCTGAAAGATACTTTAAAGACAACATTGTCCAACCTATTTATTGTAAAGTCAGAAAGGTATCTAAGTGACTTATCCTACTCACACAGAATACTAGTGACAAAGCTAATACCTAGTCCCAAGACTTTGGGATTCAAGCCTAGAATTCTTTGCTATGTAACGTTATTGTCCCACTAAAACTAATGTCAAACAAATGTCAAATGTCAAAAAATGTCAAGAGAAGGAAAAATTAACCAAGAATCTAAATGATTCTTATTTTGATTGAGGTGTGAATACAAACCCTAAACTCTCAGCCAGTTTTTACACCCTATTTGCTCTATTATTCCATTTGCTGATCAAATAGTAATAATACAGAGTGAGAAATCTACAAATGTTACTAATTGTAGGTCAGCTAAACAAAAAATATCAGGTCTTATATATAGTTCATGATAAAAATTAAGCAGAATTAGAGTTATGGGCAGAATTTTTCTCATTCTTTTATATCACCCAATAGAATGAGCCAACTTCAGAATACTCCTGATTACCTGGAAAAAATTCTTCACCTTTGTGGAGCTAATAGATTTTATGTATAGTCATCCTTTCTCCATCAATCATGATTGAGGTAGGAAACATGGTGACACTGAAGAAGTATGTAATCTAGGACGAGATCAGTACGGACAAAGGCTTTCTGCCCCTATTTAAGCTAATCCTGCCAAGAATTTGTGACTCATCTTCAGCAAAGTTTGTCACTGCCTATGGGAGACACCTGAGACACCTGTTCACAGCTATTATTCTAAGTGGACCCTGAAGGAGCAATTAAGTACCTCTTTGCTAGGTACTTGGCTGTTGCTGGTGTTCATACAAAGGCCAGTTCAGACTTCTGATCCAAATATATGTAAAAGGGTGTAAGCTTGAGCAGAGAGCAGGACTAAACCTTTCTCCCAGTTCACATAATCTGGGGCAGTGCAGACCCAGGTTCAGGTGCTCAGACTAATGTGCTCAGACATATGGACTGGGGAGGGGGGTGTCAGGAAGGCAGTTAGCATTTCTAGACTGCCTTTCATGGAAGTTTCGAGCCATGGAGCCAATGTCCCTATGTTTCCCAGCATAAACCACCCCTACCAACAGAGCTGGCCCACTCACTATCTTTCACTCATACCTTGGCTCCTTTACCAAGCTATCTTTCCTTCCCCTGTCCCCATACTTTCTCTCCCTATCCAAATCCTACCTAGATCTAACTCTATCACCTCTACCAAGGCTTCCCTGACTTCCTGGAGGAAAATGATCACTCCCTGATAAATCTCAGTCCCATTCAGGAGCTCCTCCATGTTAATGAGCTTTAGAGTCTTTACAGACACAGAGTCAATCCCAAGCCTGAAACCTACTTGGGTTATGTGACTTGGGGCAAGTCTCTAACCTCTCCAGGACTTAATTATAACAATGACAAGACTTACCTCATTATCGCAGTACCTAATACATGAAAAGGGCTTGGCAACATTTTACTTCCTCTT